TTAACATTCAATAATGTTCGGCACCATACCTGTTATTTAAATGAAGTGGGAAATGGAGGTGCATTCACTCTCGATGGTTCGTTGAAACCAAAAACAAACAAAAAATACCTAAAAAAAGAGCTCATGTTAAATCTGGTCGATCTTTTATACTCTACATCATTATTTACTGTGGCATTTTTTACCCCACATAAGATTTTGATGATGTCGAAATATATTCCTAGATTATTTTTTTAACCTACTGATTTGAAAATGCTTCTCAAATCCTGAAAATACAGAAAATTTAAGTTTACCGCTATAAAAGAGGTTGACCCATGTATTTAACATTTTTTGTAAGGAAATACAAGCCATTAAAAACTCAAAAAATTAAACTACAAGCAATTCGGTTGGAAAAACGTTCTCAAAACCCGTAATTAACCGAAAAGTGGCGGGTGCCCCTGTATGGGCGAAATATGTAGCCATTACCAAAATATATAATTTTTTCTAGAGAGCTTTTCTATCATTTGAGAATCCAAAATATTAAATTACAGGTAAATAGTAGATATTCAAAATCTTCAAAAATCTTCTGGGGCTTGAGCTTCAGAACAGCTCCATCTTTACCTCAAAAAAAAAAAAAAAATACTTCCTCTTCAATTTATTAAAAAAATCGGTATCAGTTTGGATTTGGATATAAAGACTCCTCAACCCTCAGCTCGTCTATTAAGATTCAGTAGACTTCCAGTTTATTTAAAAAGTCTATAAGAACTTCTGGCCGTATAGCTCGCATACTCCTGCTTGTCTGTAATGATATCGTGGACCTTTAGCTCGCCTATAAAAATACCCTGAACTTTTAAAAGTTTTTTTCCCTACAAAAGACTTCCTGGTTGTGGTTGTAGCACCCATATTGCTTCTACACAATGGGCTGAGATGACAGACGTTTTCCGATACTTGGATCGTTTCGGATCGTAGACCCCTCTGTCGTGGAAACGAAATCGGACTTCCCGGTCAATAAGCTCGCCTTTTAAAGACTCCCATAACATGTCCACAAAGTCTTATTAGAATTTTTAATATAATCTATACATATTTATGATCATTCAGTTCGTCTATAAATACTCTTAGACCTTCAGCTTCGGTTTGGCTCGGATCTCCGACCATTCACCTTGTCTATAAGGACTGATTGAAGACTTCTCATTTATAAAGACTCCCCGGGCCTTTATCCTACCTATAAAAACTGTCTGAACCTTCAGCTCATCTATCTATAAAATTTCATTAATCTTTCAGCTCGCCCAAAGGAGAATGTCTGCCATTCAACATGCAGCTATAAAGATTACTGACCCCTCTAATAGTTTAGAAATACTCCGTGTCCCTTCAGCTCGTTCAATAACACACCTTGAGCCAGACTCCCTGTACCTTCAATTCATCCATGAAAGTAATCGGCCCCATCGTTTACAAAGACCTGTTGCACTTCGGTAAATCTATAATGACTTTACCTCGTCTATGGAGACTCCCTAGCCTATTTTCTATAAAGACTTTCTGTTCCTCAGCTCGTGTATAGAGACTCTTGACTTCACCTCACCTATATAGACTCATAAAGATCCCTTCTTTTTCACATGTGTTGATATTCCAGACTCTCACCTAAAAATAACTACCGACCAATTCCATTCCCTCTGAAACCTAGTCAAAAATATTTAATTAATTCCCTGGTAGCTTGAAGTTACAAATAAATACTTATTAAATAATAATACCCTCACACCTACATTACAAATAAAAATTGCTGACCATATTTTAATTGTGGATATACTCTAATCCTCCTCCTCCTCTCTGCGGCTTGCCATTTTTGGAATTACTTTTAATTAAATTCATTGACAAAATGTACTAAACAAACAATGTCAATTAAATATTCGTTACGTTTAGTAAAAAACGTTTTGAACTTTTTTTTTGCAAATTAAAAATAAGGCACAGACAAAAATAGCAACAACAATAAGTAAGTAAATAACACCTACAACAGTAGTTCAACCATATAAAGACGAATTAAAAAAAAGATCAATTGGGTGGCAGCGGAACGTATTGGAGAATTGCTAGGTAAATATCATAACCATTGAATAGAGAGAATTCAAAACAAAAATTCAAACAAAGCATAGCTTTGAAAATAAAAAATTATTATAAAATTATAAATTATTTTTGTTGTTGTAGCAATGTTTGTTTATGAATTCTAATCTTTTGTCATATTCTTCCGAACACACACACCCAGCCAGGCGTATATAAGTGCCTAACCATTCATATATAAATGTTTATATTATCTGTCTCTATATATACAAAATTATTTAGAATTTGTAGCACAAAGTAAAATACAAAACAAAAACAATAACAAAAAACATAAAATAAAGAAATTGATTAAAAAATAAACAAAAAATAGTTCAAATTAAAGGCAAAATAAAAGACAAAAAAATAGAGATCAACAAATTCGTGTAGTTTTTCTAAACTATAGAATAAACAAAAAAGAAAAACAAGAACAATTTAAATAGAAACAAAAAATAAATATTTTTGTTTTAAGGTGAACTATGACTATTAAGATAAGAGAATTTAGAGAATAAATGCGTAAAAACTAAAATTATTTGTTTGTTTATACATGTCTGTCCCACATGGTTTACTGATGGGTGGTTTTAATGCGCAGTTTAATGAGGAACAATAATAGTGTTGCAATATTAACAAAACTATTCGAATGTGTATTATTATTATTCATTTTTTCAAACAATAATCAATTTTGTTATTTTTTTTTATCATATTTCGGAAGTAAGGTATATGCAGTTCAATGAATGTGAGGAGAATAAAGAATTGACATCATCTACCCTGGAATCCACCACAATGGATGTTAGTTTATTTGATTAGAACAAAACAAAATTTAATTAAAAATAAAAATAACAGTCAATTCTTTTAAAACTTAATTGGAACGATTTTGAATTTGTTTATATGAAAAAAGTTGGTTCTCCAGTACATCTAAAAAGACATATTAATGCCCTTAAATTTTTTCAGGCTTGATAAATTCAAAGTTTCATTTTTGTATGGACCATATGAACCCAGGTTCAATTGTAAATTTATCAGATGAATATAGAAGGAATGATCCTCAGAAGGCGTAGATTTTTAAAAAAAAGTTTTCTGTGGTCTTCCTAAGGACCAATCTGAGAGAATCTAAGCCTTCTGAGGACCAAAAAAATATTTAAAAATCTACGCCTTTAAATAATTTTTCTATGGTCCTCAAAAGGACCATATAAAGACAGGATTCAATTTGTATGGACCAAACGGACCCAGATTTTATTTTTATAGACCAAATTATCTAAGGTTACATTTTCTATATATCAGAATTCGTTAGGGTTTATTTTGAGTAGATCAAAATTATTTTTAAATAATTCAAAATTATTTAAGAATCCATTTGTTATTGATCGGAGGAGTTCGAGGTTAATTTGTTATAGACCAGAATAAAATAGCGTTAATTCCTATTCACTTTTTGAACCAATGGTTAATTTAATTTTTAAGGTTAATTTTCAATAAACCAGATGTAAACATGGTTCATCGTTTCCAATACAGCGGAGCCTACAATCCGAAACGATCCGAGTTTTACTCGGCCACGTCTCTCAGCTTAGTCCATAGGCATGGTTAATCGTTTCCAAGACATAGGGGTCTACAATCCGAAACGACCCGAGTTTTACTCGGCTGCTACAACAACCTATGGATCATTTTGTAGACCAGATGAACCCCTTTTTCATTTTCAATGGATCAGATAAAACCATGGTTTATTTTATGAAGGTCAGGCATTAATTCCTAAGACTCAAATGAAACCTGATGTTTAAATTTCTTAGTCCCTAAGAACACAGTCTTCGTTTTTAATAATCTGCAAAATTTTTGTTTGGGTTCCTCTTAATTACAATGTGCATATTTTCTTTCATCTTCCCACTGTTCTTTGTGGAATTGAAAAGCGCCTTGTCGATTTCTAGATCTTCGGTAGTGAGTGATTAGGTTTCCCTACCTTGATGATCTATACAAATCTTAAATTTCTGAAATGTTAACTCACTTGACACATATGATCACATAATTTTAGTGACAGGTTAATATTTTAACTTATCACAGAGGCCAAATCATTTCCACTAATATGTATAAGTATAATTTAATTTTCCAATTCTCTTCTAACTTTGTCCCGGCAGATTATCTGCACGTAATAGGAACTGTGTCTCAGTGAGTTGGCAAAACGTTAAGGACTTTGGGTCCCACATTTCTCTTCGAACCCCTTCTTGGATTATTTTCAAATGCATGCTGAGCTACTGGCTAATGTCCTTTTGGGTTTTATTTCTACAAAATATAAAACAATTATTACAAAAATCTATAATTTCTAAAAATTCTAACTTACTTGACACCGGCAGACTACCATTCAGTTTCCCCCAAGACTTTTTTCGCCATTCAGACAATTTTATCCCTCTATTTAAGTGGCAAATGTATTTCTTAACATAGCATAGGTCTTTTTTATTCCCGCTAATATGATTTTTTAAGTTATTTTAATTTAAAACACTTGAAATTCACAATTTTTCGCCTTTCATAATTGCATATTTTTGACATTACGGGCTTACGGCCAGTCATCTCTCAATGACTTTACACAGAGAGTTCTCACAAAAACCATAACTCAAAGGCTCTCTCAAATGAATTCTCATTGCATAGAATTGTTAAAGAATAACAAAAACAAAAACCCCACAGAAAAAAAAAACAATAACAAATGGCATACATAGAAGCAAGAATAAAATGCCCAGCAACAATTTACAGTTATTTGGAAATGTCCAAGGCAAACGGCAAAAGAAGGCAAGAAAAAAACAGAATACAACGAAACAAAACAAGCTCCATTTACACTCTACATTTGCAATGGAAAGCTCCACCATCATTTGTGACAGAGGGAGGTAAAGAAGAAAAGAGGAGGAGCAACAACATTATAAAGTGAGGGAGTGATTATAAATTATGCAGTTTTTGCATTTTCTATTTACCTTGCGATGACGTCCTTTGTAGACAACGGCAAAGGCGCCATGGCCCAGCATATCCTTCGAACTATACTCATAATCACCGACAATATTCATTGCATATGACTGGAAATTTCAGCAATAATGGGCAGAGAGTAGAAGGCGGCGGCGGTGACGACAGCAGCAACGAAAACAGCGGCAGAACCAGCAAAGTTAGATGGTCAAGATTTTCACAAAAAACTTTAATTTATTAAACGATTTGTTTTTTTTTAATTTTAATAATGGCCACTTATTTGTTGTTTTTTATTAAAGTTTGCCAAATGGAGCCTTTGTGTCTAATAAAACCGATTTCTTGTTTCTTTGCTTTTCTTCGTTGACGAGGGAGACAAACAAATGCACTATAAAATTCGAGTTATAATACAGGGCGAGTGGACGTCAACGGCAAAACACACGCACACACAAACTGACACACACAAACTTTATATATACACTACATATACATATGTATTATATTTATTTTTCTGCACTTTTTTCCTCGGTACAATTACAGCTGTTGGTTGGTTGGTCGGTTGGGGAAAATCAATTTTCAAGGGTTCTTCTTCGGGTATCCACTACATCAAGAGCAAAAAAAGGAAATCGTATACAAAAATATATATGCTTTTCTTCTCTATAGATATTTCTTTTTCTATTTTAAATATTTATAATCAATTGTAGAAAAACTAGTAGCTCTTTATTGTGTAATTTGTTGTTGTTTTGTGTGAAGTATGCAATAAATTATTGTTTGGAAAACTTTTTTTCTTTCTACGTAATTTTTGTATTCACTTCGTCGTTTTACATTGGTATTTTTCTTTTCTGTTTAATTTGTCGTGAGCAAAAATATGTTAAAAGAATTTTTTTTTATCGATTTTGTCATCCAGAAAAACAACAATTTACTTCAATTTGTTTTTTGTTGAAGTATTATTCTTTGTTTCCGAGCGATGCGTCGCGTTTGCTTTTTTCTGTTATTAACTTTATTATTAATAAATTAATTTCTCACTGACTGATCCGAACGAGATGTCTCATGCTTCTTCTTCTTCTGTTTCGTTTTCTTTCATCAATAACGATTTCG